AGATTTTATAAAAGATTATGTTTAGAAATTGAAAGTGGAAAACAAAGAACTGCGCAAGATTGAAGCAAATATCAGTGGCATGAAGATTGCCAGTTAATTACACTTGTTTTTTTTATTGGCAAAATCATCTCTGATCTAAACTTCTTACATCATCTTATATAAAAGGGCGTACCTGGATCTGTTTTTCATCAATATAACTTTTTACCTTTTATGACAATATATAAAAAGTTTTTTTTATATGTCGTGTCACGCTGAGCCACGAAGCAATTCTTATGTTTGAACAATTATCCTTTATTGTCAAGTTAACACTACAATAGACGATTGCATTAGCACGCTATCTGTTATAAAAAATCGAAACTATTATAGACACGTATGATTCTTTTTAAAATTAAATAATTTATACTGGTGAAACCGCTGGGAGGGTTCACTACTGATGAGCCAGGCCCTCTTATATTTTTTTCCATTGCAGTTAAGAGCAGTAGAAATTGTTTAATTTTAAAAATAATCATACGCGTCTATAATAGTTTCGAATTTTCACTACAATAAACATCTAAAGTAACAAGACTACTCAACTCCTAACACTGGACTTGATTCCTCAGCTTATTCCATACGTCCTATTTATAGCACCAATAGGTTAAAACTATGCAAATTGTACTACAATAAAGAATAAATATGCAAATACACAACGGTATATATCTTTATACTGTGTTACATATTCACAAAACCATCATTGATCATACAGTAGAACCTCCATGAGTGGACACCTCTCTATAAAGGACAGTTTTCATTTGCAAAATTACCATTTTTAATATTTAGCAACTCTCTGGTAAGAGGACACCTCTCCCTAAAGGAAAGTTTGGCTCTGCAATTAGGTGTCCTTTATAGGGAGGTTTTACTGTATGAACTTATATTCATTTAAAGGTATATATATATATATATAACTCTATGTAAAAATAAGTTTTTGAAAGTCGTTTATAATTGAATTTTTGGAAAAACATTTCCCCAGCTCTAATATTTTCCATATGGTTTTAGAGAAAATATTTATAAACCAGGTTCCTGGATGGCAGAACACCAAATACCTTGGTACGGTTCTAAAAGATTATACGTAAATTGTCTTAATAAATAATGACATTGATAAAAGTAAGATATAAAAAAAAAATTGCTTAGATTATAAGATTTTAATTTTAAAAAATAAATTGTTACGAGAAATAATTAAAAAAAAAAATAAAAAAATAAATTGAAACCATTTCCAAAGATGAAAGAGAGATTCACAAAAGGGTATTACTTAAAATATAGGGGGTTCGGTGGAAGGCTGGCATAAACCGTTGGTTTTCGACCGCTACGACTCGGGTTCGATTCCCGCATTGGGCACTTTTTTTCTGATAAAAAAAAAAAAAATGCTCCAATGACCCCCGATTCTTGCAAAGGTCCAACCCCACCAGCGAATGCAAGTAACCAAATGAGGCTCTGGCACATTTGTAAGTGCAAAGTCGAACTGCTTTTCATGTGTGTAGACATGTGGTGCACTTACAGTAAAAGCAGTCGCCTTCTACCCACCATGATTATCATGGTCTGTACCACGTGTATTAGGGATAAGCAAAAAAAAAAAACTTAGAATATAAAAATATTTAGAGAGAAATACTTAATTTAGTAATTTATTTATAATATTTAAAAAAATAATATTTATATATATATACTCATAGATATATATAGGCATACTATGCATTTTTTTGGGGGGGGGGGGGGGGGGGGGGTTATAGCAACACTTATACTCTCCATGAATTTGAATTGTAAAAGGATATAATGTCTTTGACACACTGCCATATTTCTAAAAAAAATTATCGTATTTTTGAGAGAAAATGATAGATAAAAATCTTATAAAAAATATCCCTAAAACATTTCACAAGGTTCTAAATGTCAAAAATGGAAAGACTATATATAAAAATACACTTATATAAAACTAGACGAATGGCCCGGGCAACGCCCGGGTTTTACCCGAGTGCGAATATATTTTAAAAACGTTGTCTTGGGTGGTCGCTATAGACAGGGTGGTCTGTATAGACAGGTGTATGTATCACACAGCTGATAACAGGGTTGTCCAGAGTGGCCGCTATAGACAGGGTGGTCTGTATAGACAGGTGTATGTATCACACTGCTGATAACAGGGTTGCCTAAAGTGACCGCTATAGACAGGGTGGTCTGTATAGACAGGTGAATGTAACACACTGATGATAACAGGGTTGCCTAAAGTGACCGCTATAGACAGGGTGGACTGTATAGACAGGTGGATGTATCACACAGCTGATAACAGGGTTGTCTAGAGTGGCCGCTATAGACAGGTGTATGTATCACACAGCTGATAACAGGGTTATCTAGAATGGCCGCTATTTACAGGGTGGTCTGTAAAGACAGGTGGATGTATCACACAGCTGATAACAGGGTTGTCTAGAGTGGTCGCTATAGGCAGGGTGGTCAGTGGTCGCTATAGACAGGGTGGTCTGTATAGACAGGTGGATGTAACACACTGCTGATAACAGGGTTGTCTAGAATGGCCGCTATAGACAGGTGTATGTATCACACAGCTGATAACAGGGTTGTCTAGAGGGGGGCAGGGAGATCACGATTCGCCGGCAGCCAATGGTCGCGCATTCTATCCGTGAGCTTCAGACAGACAAAATAAGGCAATTATATATATAGATAAGATATTTATTTAGAAAATGGTCAGTTTTATTAACATAAAGAATTGAGAGAGAAAAATAAAAAGTGAAAGATTTCTAAAAAGTCTAAAATTATCTACAGGGTCAAAAGGGCTATATAGAATATTCTTATATTTTGCACTAGTATATCGATAAACAGAAAGAGAGATAAATTTGATTTTATAATAAGATATATAAATCTTTAATAAGATGCACTAGCGCGCCATCTGTTATCAAATTCGAAACTATTTTAAAGGCGTAAGATTCTTTTTGATATTAAACAATTTCTACTGTCCTTACTGCAATGGAAAAATTAATGAGAGGGCCTGGCTCATCAGTGGTGAGCCCTCTCAGCGGTTTCGCCAGTTTAATCTACCATACCGCTGTTATATTGCATTTTTGGAACTTCCTTTTATAGTTATTCTACTGTCCTCAAAGCTTATGTCCATAGTTCTTCTAAAATACCCATTCAAAGAGTCTATCAACAGTATCACTATAAAAGGAAGTTCCAAAAATGCAATATAACAGCGGTATGGTAGATTAAACTGGCGAAACCGCTGAGAGGGTTCACCACTCATGAGCCAGGCCCTCTCATTAATTTTTCCATTGCAGTAAGGACAGTAGAAATTGTTTAATATCAAAAAGAATCTTACGCCTTTAAAATATAAATCTTTAATTAAAAAGCCATAATTGGATCAAAATATAATTTATTTCAGTTGGCTAAACATCAACCTTTATCAAGGTATTATAACATATTAATATGTGTTGTTGACACACATAAATATGTTATAATACCTTGATAAAAGTTGGCGTTCAGCCAACTGAAATATTGGTAAAATAAATGATATTTTGATCCAATATATACCTTTTTAATTAAATATTTATTCATCGATTGCTCTATTTTCAATATATATATATATCTTATTTTTTTAAATATCAACATCTCTGATCTTCTTTATTATTTTATTCAAATATTATTTTATGAAAAAATAATAAAAAGGTGAAATTGTACTTGAATCAAGTATTAAGAAAAAAGGCATTTAATTTTCATATAAACCAACAGATACTTTTAGTTGTACAATCAGGAGATGCCTTAGTATTATTTGATAGAAAATGTTTAAAAGTTTGTTTAGGCTGATCTTATGACCGTTTTATTATTCCTGTGTTTCGAATTCTTATGTTTACAGAGGCTAGAGCTATATCGGCAGCTATATCCGCATATATCACACCTGCATTTTTTCTCGCCTGTGTGTTTTCTCATATGGATTTTAAGTTTACATTTCTCATATGTTATATAATTACATATTTCACATTTAACGTTATATTTGTCTTTATTATGTTTCCACAAGTGTGTAAGATATGACCTCTTCCATTTAGAACTGAAATTGCATTTTTCGCATTTGAACGATTTGTTATTTTCATGTATTTGCATATGTCTATTTACATCTGATTTTACAATCGAACGATAATTGCATTTTGTACATTTGTGAGGTTTTTCTCCCGTGTGAATTCTTTCATGTTGGGTTATTAGCCATCTTCTTGAGGCTTTATGTTCACAATATTTACATTTATAAGGTTTTTCTCCTGAATGGATTTTTACATGAATCTTTAAAAGACTCTGTTTATTTGAACTATAGTCACATTTATCACATTTAAATTTCTTTTCTTCATTATGAATATTTCTAATTAAATTTGTAATATCGATTATGCTTCCATATGGTAACATTATATTTTGACCTTTTAAATATTTAAAAAAAAATAATAATTTTTTTTTTAAATTTTAGATTGAGAGAGAGAGAGAGAGATAGAGAAAGAAAAAGAATATTTTTATTAAGTGAATAATATATACTTTTTAAGAAATTATAATTAAAAAATAATTTGAAAAAAAAATTGTTCTATGAATATTAGAAAAATAATTTTAAATTTTGAGAAGATTAATTTCAGAAATGTGAATTTCTACCTGTAATTTTAATTTGCATATTTTCGCCAACTACCCAGATTGTCCTTCAGATCTAAGTCTTCTTTATTTTATTTGCAAGACGACTAAAAAGGTGGGGACCAAGAAAGAGTTTTTTGGATTATTTTCCAAAGAGACTAATAAGAGAGATATTTTTATAACCCATGTTCATGGGGAGGGCCATACAAATGTGTATTAAAATTGGAAAAAAAGTAAATCATAATTTCTTTAAATCAATCTGTAGTTTATATATATATATGTACAGTAGAGTTTCCCTTTAGCGGACACCTCTCTACAAAGGACAGTTTTCATTTGAAAAATTACCATTTTTATCATTTAGCAACTCTCCTATAAAAGTACACATTGTGCGATTCTCGATTCTCGTCTGATCACCGAAGTTAAGCAGTTTCGAGCCCGGTCAGTACTTGGGAGGGTGACCACCTGGGAACACCGGGTGCTGTAGGCTATTACCTTTTTTTTTTTTTTGGTAGTTGGCGCTCTGCGCTCCAAATAAAGTATTTAAAAACACAAAGCAATAACGCGCCATCTATACATCTAAAACAAAATGATTTAAAAGCGCGAATGTTTCCTTTATACATAAAACGAACTTCTACTGTCCTTACTGCGATGAAAAAATATATTGGGAGGGCTTGGCTCATCAGTGGTGAACCCTCCCAGCGGTTTCGCCAATTTAATCCACCAGACCGCTTCTCAGAGCTCTAATACTGTATTGGATCATTCTGATTTTATATGCTACACTGAAGGATGGAATCTTAGAAATGGTTTTCAAGCAAACTATGGACATAAGCTTATAGGACAGTAGAACTACATTCAAATATTTGCTTCGAGCAATGCTCTTCAGCAAACTATAAAGACAAGGCCAGTTAGGAATATAATAACACAAAGCAATAACGCGCCATCTATACATCTAAAACAAAATGATTTAAAAGCGCGAATGTTTCCTTTATACATAAAACGAACTTCTACTGTCCTTACTGCGATGAAAAAATATATATTGGGAGGGCTTGGCTCATCAGTGGTGAACCCTCCCAGCGGTTTCGCCAATTTAATCCACCAGACCGCTTCTCAGAGCTCTAATACTGTATTGGATCATTCTGATTTTATATGCTACACTGAAGGATGGAATCTTAGAAATGGTTTTCAAGCAAACTATGGACATAAGCTTATAGGACAGTAGAACTACATTCAAATATTTGCTTCGAGCAATGCTCTTCAGCAAACTATAAAGACAAGGCCAGTTAGGAATATAATAACACAAAGCAATAACGCGCCATCTATACATCTAAAACAAAATGATTTAAAAGCGCGAATGTTTCCTTTATACATAAAACGAACTTCTACTGTCCTTACTGCGATGAAAAAATATATTGGGAGGGCTTGGCTCATCAGTATTACAGTATTAGAGCTCTGAGAAGCGGTCTGGTGGATTAAATTGGTGAACCCTCCCAGCGGTTTCGCCAATTTAATCCACCAGACCGCTTCTCAGAGCTCTAATACTGTATTGGATCATTCTGATTTTATATGCTACACTGAAGGATGGAATCTTAGAAATGGGTTTCAAGCAAACTATGGACATAAGCTTATAGGACAGTAGAACTACATTCAAATATTTGCTTCGAGCAATGCTCTTCAGCAAACTATAAAGACAAGGCCAGTTAGGAATATAATAACACAAAGCAATAACGCGCCATCTATACATCTAAAACAAAATGATTTAAAAGCGCGAATGTTTCCTTTATACATAAAACGAACTTCTACTGTCCTTACTGCGATGAAAAAATATATTGGGAGGGCTTGGCTCATCAGTGGTGAACCCTCCCAGCGGTTTCGCCAATTTAATCCACCAGACCGCTTCTCAGAGCTCTAATACTGTATTGGATCATTCTGATTTTATATGCTACACTGAAGGATGGAATCTTAGAAATGGTTTTCAAGCAAACTATGGACATAAGCTTATAGGACAGTAGAACTACATTCAAATATTTGCTTCGAGCAATGCTCTTCAGCAAACTATAAAGACAAGGCCAGTTAGGAATATAATAACACAAAGCAATAACGCGCCATCTATACATCTAAAACAAAATGATTTAAAAGCGCGAATGTTTCCTTTATACATAAAACGAACTTCTACTGTCCTTACTGCGATGAAAAAATATATTGGGAGGGCTTGGCTCATCAGTGGTGAACCCTCCCAGCGGTTTCGCCAATTTAATCCACCAGACCGCTTCTCAGAGCTCTAATACTGTATTGGATCATTCTGATTTTATATGCTACACTGAAGGATGGAATCTTAGAAATGGTTTTCAAGCAAACTATGGACATAAGCTTATAGGACAGTAGAACTACATTCAAATATTTGCTTCGAGCAATGCTCTTCAGCAAACTATAAAGACAAGGCCAGTTAGGAATATAATAACACAAAGCAATAACGCGCCATCTATACATCTAAAACAAAATGATTTAAAAGCGCGAATGTTTCCTTTATACATAAAACGAACTATAAAGTATTAGATATAAAGTATTTAAAAAGCAATGCCTATATTATGATGCACTAGCGCGCCATCTGTTATGAAAATTCGAAACTATTTTAGACGCGTAAGATTCTTTTTGAAATTAAACAATTTCTACTGCCCTTACTGCAATGAAAAAAATTAATAGGAGGGCCTGGCTCATCAGTGGTGAACCCTCCCAGCAATCCCCATACCATTAAACAATTAAATTTAATATGACTAAAAATATAAAGCGAGAGGGCAAGGAGGATTCTAATGATATATAGAATTGTTGCTGTCGTGTCCAATATTTCATTGGAAAATTAAACTGGCGAAACCGCTGGGAGGGTTCACAACTGATGAGCCAGGCCCTCTCATTAATTTTTTCATTGCAGTGAGGGCAGTAGAAATTGTTTAATTTCAAAAGAATCTTGCGCGTCTAAAATAGTTTCTAATGCTTATATTACAAAAAGAAGTTGAACTAAGAACTTTTTTTCAGCAATCCCCATACCATTAAACAATTAAATTTAATATGACAAAAAATATAAAGCGAGAGGGTCAGGAGGATTCTAATTATATATAGAATTGTTGTTGTCGTGTCCAATGTATCATAGGAAAATGGGTGCCGTTGCCACGTTAGTTACCTTGGATCAGAATTTGGGTCGAATATTCCAAGGGTCAAGGAGGGTTAAAAACTTTATATAAATAAAAAAAAATGTATATTTTATTTACGGTTACACTGTTGTATATAAATCTCTCTATTTCAAACACAATGTGTGGACAAAATAATAATAATGGTATTGATCTGTAATATTATATATAATTGTTAGCTGTATATATACTGAATGTAATATTTAAATCAAAGATACAATTCTTTCATTGGCCTTGTAGAACGAGAGTGGTGTACGCGTGCTCGCATGTTTTAGTGAAAAACACAAACATCCTCGATAAAGAGAGGCGAGTTGCCCCCCGAAATTTTGGAACAATAAATCATTATAAATCCAATATATGCATATTTTTTCACAAAAATGTATAAATTTAATATTATTGTTTTTGCTAAGTATAAATTTGTTGATGTATGAGGTATCTGGAACCATAGTATTACTATTTCTAAGTATAATTTTGTTGAGTGGACTACTTACTATCAAACCTCCCTTTGAAAATTAAACGATTTATAGCCCGTCAAAGGATTCTATGGCTATTTGTCCGCGAGGATATCACGGGATTTTGGAACAGCGACCCTTTAAATTGCTACTTCTACAATGCTGTCATCCAAGACAATTTGGTCCATTATCTATTCCATTGCCCATTTCTACAGGAAAAGAGACTGGAAATTCGCGAAATTTCGGGGCTAACTCACTATAATGAACAACATGTATATACAATTTTTACTACTCTCCCTGATGGATAAAACATTTGTTCATAAATATTTTAAAATTTTCAAGCTGATTGATAAAATGAAGGAAAAGTGCTCAACTCCACAGACAACGGCTGATTGCTCCCCCTCCCCTCTAAATTGCTTTTCCTCCTCACTCATGTACATATATAACAACAACAACAAAAAAGGCTTTTATTAGGGCCCACTGCCCTGTATGGATTCGCCATACAACAACAAAACAATACAGCAATTCTTCTCCCTTTCCCCATGTGCACGTGAGCCTTTGTTTGAAAAGGGACTTATTTACACATCTGTTCTAAAACTTTCCTCACTACCTCTTTTGTGTATGAATCTATTTACAATTGATCTGTAGAAATTATAGAGTTCTATTGCTATATTTTTCTTTTCTGAAATAGTTCTCAGCGTCTTCAGTGGGTTGCTAAATCTCCAGAAGGTGTTTTTTAAGAGTTTTTTTTTTATCTTTCTTCACCTAAATATTTGCATTCTATGATATAGTGGGAGATTTCATCAGATATCATATTTCCACAAATCCTCATGTACATATATAACCTTTTAAGGGAATCCCCTTGTAAGACAATAGTGTCTTAATAAAGGTTTTTGTTGCATAATTTTGTTGATAAATGAGGAATCTGATAAAAATATCAATGATACTGAGTGAGAAACAAAGGAAGGTTGTGTCTGGAGGAACGTTGAAATCTGCGTCAAGGAAGAAAGATGTCAACCAGACGATACAACATGGCAAAATGGTTGCCGGGAAACATTGTTGTTGTGGCGCCCCACGTTGGTAAGCAATGCTTATAAATATTGATAGACTATCGATCTACCGTTCCCAAAAATTTTAATCGTCTGCAGCCGCCGCGGTGTAAGGAGGTGGGTTTCGTCTGCTCTCTAATTATATTTAAATTTCCCGCCTTTTCTTGATGTATATCTTCTGCTATGTTTGGTTCTCAATTATTGTGATTTGACGTCCGCCGAAACTTTTGATTTTGTATAACTTCTTGTTTTTTTGTTTGTTTCTCTTGATTAGAAGTTTGAAGATTAACATGCTCACACATTTGGAATTGAATTTAAAAATAATTATTAAATATAATTAAACGAATAAACAGGACAATGTCCAGTTTTTTCCCCTTCCAAATACATTTTTACCCGAGTGTATATAACATATAAAAAGCCCTTTTTATATCAAAATCTAATTTCAAATAGGTTAATTGAATTTTGAATTAGAAATTAACTTATCAAAAAAAAAAAAAAAAAACTTATCATTATTTGCGATAGGTGTTTACGCCTCACGTAAACAAACAGCCGTACCGAATTTTACTTTTATTTACATATACATATTAGAAGGTCTGTTCTACAAACTAAACACTAAATCGACAGAGAAAAAATTGTTGCCTATTTTAAAATAAAGTTTTCATTAAAAGTGTTCTTATATACATCTGAAAACTTCAGTTTCATTTCTAAATGCCTACTCACGATGACAATGCAATTATTTGAAACTTTTATATATTAATTTTTTGGGACTAATTATTAAATAAATCAAACGATAACCTTCTCGAA